GACAGGACATGTGCCCTGTCTTTGAAGGGCCAAGATCTGGGGGGAATGCAAACAAGTGAACAGCACATCACCCCACAGGTTTCAGGGGCCCAGAGGGTGGGGACTCAGGATAGGCACCAAGGAAACACACAGAGAGGCAACTGCCCCATCTGTCGGGCTGGAGGGCTCACAGAAGCAGTGGAAACTAACCACTGTCTCTGTCTCCATCTCAGGGTGGGATGGGGAGGGAGCCACATGTGCCCAGTGTGTGCTGGGATGTCAGGTGTATGGGAATGGCAGGAACGGTGTGAAAACGCCTATGTCCATCCCAGAGCCAGGGAGCTCACACCCTTCAGAAACCACAAGTGTGGAAGGCCTGGAGACTAGAAGGGAGGTGCCTGGTCTCAGTTTCTACTTGCAAGACATCTCCCTTACCTCCTGAGCATCTCAGTAATGTTATGACACTGTAGGTGGTACTCCTCTCAGCGAGGACACTATGAACTCTGAAAAGGATTTTTCATAGTGTTTTTATTTTTATTCTTTGAGACAGAATCTCACTCTGTTGCCCTGAGGAACAGTGCCATGGCATCAGCTTACCTCACAGGAACCTCAAACTCCTGCGCTCAAGCAATCCTCCTGCCTCAGCCTCCTGAGTAGCTGCGACTACAGGTGCACACCACCACGCCCAGCTAATATTTTCTATTTTTAGTAGAGACAGGGCCTCGCTATCGCTCAAGCTGGTCTTGAACTCCTGAGCTCAAGCGATCCTCCTGCCTTGGCCTCCCAGAGTGCTAGGATTACAGGCGTGAGCTACTGTACCAGCCCTGAAAAGGAATTTTTATTTTGGAAAAATATACATAAAATTTACCATCTTAACCATTGTTTAATGTATAGTTCAGTGGTATCAAGTACATTCACATTGTTGTGTGACCATCACCACCAAACATCTCTAGGATGCTTTTCATCACCCCAAACTGAAATTCTATACCCATGAAACAACTCCCCACCTCCACCCTAGCCCTCCTCCATTCCACTTTCTGTCTCTATGAACTTGATTATTCTTGGTGTCTCTTATAAGTGGAATCATACAGTATTTGTCTTTTTGTGACTGGCTTATTTCACTCAGCATAATGTCCTCAAGGTTCATTCCTATTGTAGCATGTGTCAGAATTTCTCATCCTTTAAGGCTGAATAATATTCCATTTTATGTACAGACCACATTTTGATTACCCATCCATCAGCTGATGACACTTGGGTTGTTTCCATCCCTTGGCTACTGTGAATAGTGCTGCTATGAACACGGGTACAAATATCTCTTCAAGTCCCTGCTTTTACTTCCTTTAGAAAATTCCAGAAATGGAACTGCTGGATCAAATGATAATTCTGTGTTTAACTTTTTTAGGAATGGCCATTCTAAAACTCAGCTGCACCATTTTAAATCCTCACCAGCAATGCACAAGGCTTCCAATTTCTCCACATCCCAGCCAATGCTTGTTGTTTTATGTCTTTTTGACAATAGCCATCCTAATAAGATGTGCAGTATTTTATTGTGGTTCTGAAGAAAAGGATTTTTTAAAGATCAAAGGTGGGAGAAAGGGGGGGGGAAAGCAACACACATAACCTAAACATTTGTACCCCCATAATATGCTGAAATAAAGAATAAAAAGATCAGCTGGTTGATCTTGGTCTAGGGCATCCTATATAGAGTTAATTATCCATCCAACTCTTTTTTTTTTAAGGTTAGTCAAGCGATGCAGTGAGAGTGGAGAAGGAACAAAGAAGTATGTAACTGGTTGTGATCAAATAGTTATAAACACCACTGCACTCGGACCAGCCTATTCATCCAGTTCTTCAAACCCTCCAGCAAATTCCTGAGGACACAACTTTCTCTGAGATTGCCTCCAGGAAGCTCTTCCCAGGGCAGCCACATGGCCTCCTCAATGACCAGCCCTGCTGAGCAGCCTGACTCCTGGCCCATCCTCTTCCATGAGCACCCAGCCTCCGAAGCACCACCTGGGCCATGGCACCATTATTCTAATGTTGCAACTGGCTTTCCCCAAATGCCTTCACATCCTGTGATTGCTTCTCTTACGAAAGCCCTGCTTCACTGGGGCTCTAACACTAGACATACTATGGATGACCTGGTCCCATGTGTCCTCTTGTCAACTCCCCAACAGAGTGTCATCCAAAGGTAAGGTGGAAAAGCCAGGCAGCCCCACCCTGAGCCTGTGCTGTGCAGCACCCTCCCTGGCCTACCAGGGGTACCAGGAGTTGTACTGCATGTATTTGGCTGATTCACCAGGAAGGTCCTTTAAAAATGAGAGAGGAAGCCATACCCCAAACCTCCCAATAGATGGACTGTGGCCAGAACTTGACTCCCCCAAAGCTGAGACTCTCTGGAAATGCTGCCGCTTGGCAATTCTTTTAAAGCATAAACTTTCAGTAAGACACAGCTTTTTACAGTGTGAGGAACCATCAGGCCAGGTCTCCCTTAACACAGGAACTTGACTCTCTGGCTCTTGTCTACCTCTTCTTTCCACCTTCCCACTCAGTTTTAGTTACTGCATAAGGGTCAACTCTGCTGCTTGTTAGCAGATGTGGAAAAAAAGTTTTATGGGGAATAGATTCTGAAGCTGCTATATCCTCAATACCTACAACAGTAAGTACAATAGTAGGCACATAATAAGAGCCTCATAAATATCTGTTAAACAAATTAAAGTAGGCTTATTGAAACAAGACTAAATGTCTGTCTCCTACCACCACGAGTAACCCAGCTAGCTTGAATCAGTGGCAGTGGGTGGTAATTGAGGAAGTATGAAATTAATGAATATCACTGTTACACCTTTATTAATTTAAAGGCATGTATGTGGCTATAAATAACATCATTCATCATGTTTTCTTAAAAGGGTGAACTGCTTTTCTTTTTTTTTTTCTTTTTTTAAGACAGGATCTCACTGTGTTGCCCTAGCTGGCCTCGAACTCCTGGGCTCAAGCAATCCTCACATCTCAGCCTTCTGAGTAGCTGGGCCTACAGGCATGAGCCACTGCACAAAACTGTTTATTTTTTTATTCACTAGTTCCTGTGAACACATAAGCTGGGATGAAATAACAACCTAAGTTTTATTCGATTTTTAAATAACTAAAGCCTATGTTTAGATTTCCTTAGTTTTTCCCTAATGTCTTACATTTAGTGGTCATGTGTCCAGGCTCTTCCTGGGTGTGACAGTCTCTCAGATTTCATGACCTTGATCAGATATTTTGTAAGATGCTCCTCAATTCAGGTTTGTCTTTTGTGTGATGTTTTTCTCATGGTCACACCCAGGTCTGAGATTTGTGAGGATGACCACAGAGGTGAAGTGTTTTCTCATGCCATCCTACCAAGGGCACTTGTCTATCTTTGAGTCACAGCAAACACCTTGCAGCCTTGAGACCTATCAAACTGACAGGAACTCCCTGAAGACAGGTTAGCTGACAGATGTGTGTTTGTACCTTAGAGACAGACACATTTGCACCCCTGGGAAATCATCCTTCATTTAGATTTTGTGTGAAGACTGCAATGCTTTCACTCCAAAGTTGAAGTCTTTAAACAAATACCCATGATTTTATATTTTCACTCAAGATTGTTGGGCCCCTTAACTCTTTTCTGAAGGCCGTCCTGGCTCAGGGTCCAGGGCACGCAGAGAAAGTTTCACCTGCATTCTGGAATCTTAGTTTTCCAAACGAGTTTACTTCCTCTCACAACCCATGACCTGGTCACATCATTTCCAGAGAGCACTTAATACTATTCTTATGAGAATATGGCTAACGACTTTCTCCAGCCCTCTTAAACCAATGTTTACTTTGCAAATCAAAGCATGCTACACCCTGCCTTCAGTAAACTGTCCCAGGCCTCTAAGCACAAAAGACACGAGCAAAGAACAACTCTGCCACCCCACTGCTTCCCACATCGCTAAGGAGTAGTGTTGGTGTTTTCCGTTGAAGATCACTTGAATTACGATGGTTCCAGTCTAAACATTAGAAGGCGCCATCAAGGACACCAGGAACAAGGGCCACAAGGGAGCACAGACCCCGCGAGTGAGTGCCTCCCTGGCCTGCCGTCCGGCACAATTCTCACTTCTGCACAGGCGCGGCCACTGCAGGGAGCTCGAAACCGGCAGGTCTCGCTCTCCCAAGTGCACCCCCACCGCGGGCCACCGTGAGGGCAGAAGGCCAGTCGCCCTTTCAAGGCAGGCACTGGGCTCCAAGCACTTCAAGAATGCTGGAAAGAGGAAGGTCTCCTCCGCAGCGGTGGGTGCGGGCCCCTGGGAAGTTTGGGCTCCAACCAGGGCACAGGTCAGAGTGGGCTCCAAGGATACAGACGGGGTGGGAGAGTATCTGGGAACCAGGAAAGAAGTCAGCTGAAGAAACCCTATAAAACAAGGCCTGTCCAGCCGCTGGGAAGGGGGAAACACTGCCAAGACGAAGCGACCAAGGCTAGGATGCACCTGCGATTCCCGGGCCGCTTCTGGAGCTGCCGGGGGACCGCGACGCGGCGGCCGCGGAGAGCGCGCCCAGGTGCCGCCTGGTGAGCAGGGCCGAGTCGTCCCTGCACTGGGGCTGGGCGCGAGGCCTCCACGGTTTGAGCCCCTAGGTGCCCGCTCTGACCACGACCCGAACGCCCCCACCTGCGTCCGCCTCCCCCCGGCCAGGCGCTCCCCTCCTCCCTTCCCCCGAGCGCGGCCCGTGGCCCGCCCTACCTCGCCGCTTGGCGCGCACGATGCCCTTCTTCTGCAACACGAACGTGGACCCATTCACCAGGCTTGAGACGACGGCCACGCCCAGGCCGAGCGACACGGCGGCGGGGCTCGGGCTGCGCGCCCCCTCCCCGGCCGCCGCCGTCGCCGCTGCCGCAGCTGCAGTCCCCATTCCGCCGGCGCCCGCCCTCCGCGCCTGCGCCTGCGTGCCACGCTCAACCGGGCGGAGGTGGGGGGGAGACCCGGGATTCGCAGGGCAGGCGGGGGCGGGGACCCGGGACCCGCCGGGCGGGACGGCGGGGGGGTGACCCGAGTTTCGCGGGGCCCAGGGGATGGGAGGCCCTGGGATCTACCGGGACGGTAAGGGGGCAGGAGGGGCGCGGGGCTTGGGGAGACGGCGAGGGGACAGGGACTCGGGGGTAGAACGAGACCGGGTGGGAGGAGGTGCTGGTGAGGAGGGGGCGGTAGGTGAAGAAGGAAGTAGGGCGGTGCCTAGGTGGGTAGGTAGGGTTCCCAGATTCAACAAATAAAAATACAGGACTCCCAGTTAAGTTTTCGTCTCGGATAAACAACGAATCATTTTTTAGCGTATGTCTCCTGCAGTTTGCGGGGCTGGAAGAGCGCCGGCAGGACGCGGCCCTAGCTGTGACAGCTGTCCCCTCGAAGCGTCTATTCCAAGGAAGCCGACAGGGAGCCTCACCTGGAGCCTAAGACCAGGAAACTCAAATGGGAACTTCAAAAATGATCCATTTTTTTCCTGGCCTTTCTTCGACCTGTGAAGTCAACTGCTTCCACACTGGAACAGTGAGCTCGTGATCATACTGATTTCCACATTTTAATTTTTAATAAAATATACACAAATTATAGAAAGCCTGGAAAATAGGAAAAAGTTATTTAAAAATTAATCCCACAACCCTCACGTAATTATTACTATTTTAGGCGTTTTTGCACCTAAAAGTAATGTATACATAGTTTTATATGTTTCCAATTACAATATATGAAATCTCCTTTTTATTTAGTATATCTAATAAGTTTCCATATTGCTACATAATTATGATTATTCTAATGACAGTATCATTTCCATAAAGTTAATTACCATAATTTGTTTCATTCAGCTATTGTTGCTTGCTAGGTTGCTACCCGTTTTTTTCTATTATAAATGATGCTATAGGCCGGGGGAGATGGCTCCCGCCTGTAATCCTAGCACTCTGGGAGGCCGAGCTGGGCGGATTGCTCGAGGTCAGGAGTTCGAAACCAGCCTGAGCAAGAGCGAGACCCTGTCTCTACTAGAAATAGAAAGAAATTAATTGGCCAAATAATATATATATATAAAATTAGCCCGGCATGGTGGCGCATGCCTGTAGTCCCAGCTACTCGGGAGGCTGAGGCAGTAGGATCGCTGAGCCCCCGAGATTGAGGTTGCTGTGAGCCAGGCTGACTCCACAGCACTCACTCTAGCCTGGGCAACAAAGTGAGACTCTGTCTCAAAAAAAAAAAAATGATGCTATAATGGACATCTTAATAAATTTTGAGAATACTAGGATAAACAGAATAAACCTTTTTGCATCTTTGTGTACAGCATTATTATTTTGTGAAGCAATATAGAATCATACTATTTGTGTATGAAAACTTTAATGCTGAATGAATCTATGCATTGCTGCTGCTTTTTTATTGTGGTATCATATAAATAACACAAAACTTACCATTTTATCCTTTTTTTTTTTTCCTGAGATAAGGTCTCACTCTGTCACCCAGACTGGAGTATAGTGGTATGATCATAGCTCACTGTAACCTCAAACTCCTGGACTAAAGGGATCTTCTCTCCCCAGTTTCCCGAACAGCTGAGACTACAGGCGTGCACCATCATACCCAGCTAATTTTTAAATTTTTTGTAGAGATGAAGTCTTGCGATGTTACTCAGGCTGGGCCTCAAGCAACCCTCCTACCTTGGCCTCTCAAAGTTCCGGGATCACAGGTGTGAGCCACAGTACCCAGCCCATTTCAGCCATTTAAATGTGTAATTCAGTGGCATTAGTTACATTGACAATGTGCAACCATCACCACTATCTGTTTCCAAAACTTTTCTCTCACCCCAAACACAAATTCTGTAGCCATTAAACAGTTCCCAGTCCCTGGAAACTAATCTACTTTCTGACTCTATGAAGTCGCCTATTCTAGATGTTTCATATAAATGGAATCATACAATGTTTGTCCTTATTTCACTTAGCAGCTTATTTCACTTAACATGATAGTATCAAGGTTCATCCATGTTGTAGCATATATGAGAACTTTATTCCTTCTGATAGCTGAGTAATATTCCATTGTATGTATGTATGCATGTATGTGTATATATTTGTTTATCCATTCATCTATCAATGGACTTGGTTTGTTTCTACCTTTTGGCTATTGTGAATAATGCTGCAATGAATATTGGCATGAAAGTATCTGTATGGGTCCCTGATCTGAATTCTTTTGGGTACATAACTAGGAGTGGAATTGCTGAGTCATATGATAATTCTATATTTAACTTTTTGAGGAACTGCCAAACTTTCCATAGTGGCTGCATCATTTTACATTTCGACCAGCAATGCAGAGGGTTCTACTTTCTCCACATTCTTACCAACACTTGTTATTTTCCAATTATTATTTTTTTGCCATCTTAGTATGAAGTGATTGTTTCTTTTTACATATATTTCTGAATATCAATGATGCTTCCTGAAATAAGCAAAAACTTCTTTCATAAATCTCAGCAGAAGCAAGCACGTGAAAGCCACAGCAGTGCCAACATAATACAATTATTCATTTAGCTAATACTGCCAGTATAACAAAAAAATGATTTCAGTGCTTTTGGGAAAAAGCTGCATGCTCGTTATTTTTTAAAAACTCAATAAATACAGTAAATGCCAAAGAATATAAAACATCAGCCCAAATTCCATGACCCCAAAATAACTGTCACTATCGTTGAGAACTCTACTCCACACATTTTTCCATATGAATATATGGATAAAAGGATAGACAGACATTTTATCAAATGGAAAGACACGTGGTATTTTAATTAAAAAGATAAAACTATATTTTACTTGAATTTAACAGAAGAAAAACTGATGTTAAAGTAACTACTGAAGTTGAGATAAACACTATTTTATTATGAGATATTACTTATCAAAAGATACAGCTAAAATTAAAGTCAGTGAAAAACATTAAGAGGTGGGAGTTGTGTTTCTCTGAACTCTATGTTTTAATTTAAGACACTGTTAATTGACTCCTTGAAATGAGAAATGAGGAAATCAGTAAACTTTCCAGTTCCTTGTCATTTTTTGTCTTCTCTTTTTACTTTGTCAAGACATGTAGCATCTGGAGATGATGTAGTCATAATTCTGTATTTTTTGATCTTAAATATTTGAGTTCATTGTTCACACCACCCTTACAAAGTTTTCCCATTCATGTTTCAATTTGCTGGAAATTTTTCAATAAGTAGTGTTATATATATTAAAATAAACAACCATGAGCGCTATAATTTTGAGTTCTTTTTTTTTTTTTTGAGACAGAGTCTCACTATGTTGCCCAGGCTAGAGGAGTGCCGTGGCATCAGCCTAGCTCACAGCAACCTCAAACTCATGGGCTCAAGCAATCCTCCTGCCTTAGCCTCCCAAGTAGCTGGGACTACAGGCATGCACCACCATGCCTGGCTAATTTTTCTATATATATATTAGTTGGCCAATTAATTTCTTTTTAGAGATGGGGGTCTCAGTCTTGCTCAGGATGGTTTCAAACTCCTGACCTCGAGCAATCCGCCCACCTCGGCCTCCCAGAGTGCTAGGATTACAGGCGTGAGCCACCCCGCCCGGCCTAGTTTTTTATCTTTGAAACTCAATAACTCAATCAGATAAGTCTCAGTATTGACTAGTCTGTATCATTTTGCCTAGCACACATAAATTGATATATATGTGTATATATATGCCAATATATATCAATGTGGTATAATATCCCCACCCAGATCAGATCAAGATATAGCAGATTTCTAGTATCCCCGAAATTTCCTTCTTGATCTGTACCTTCCTGCAAAGGAAACCACTCTTTTTTTTTTTCCGGCATATTATGGGGGTACAGATTTTAAGGTTTCAATAAATGCCCATTTCCCCCCGAAACCACTCTTCTGACTTCAATCATTATCAATTAGTTTTGCCTTCTTGAACTTCACATAGGTGGGATCATACGGTGCGTTCTCTTTCTTATCTGGCTTCCTCCATTCAACATAATGTCTGTGACATTCACACATACTGTTGACTGTTCCACTAATTGATTTATTTTTGCTGTGTAGTATTCCATTATGTGAATGTACCACAATTTGTCCATTCTTCTGCTGATAGACAGATTGTTTCCACTTGGGATTACTATGAATAAAAAGGGCTTTGAATATTCTTATGCACGTCTTTTTGTGGACATAAGCACTCATTTCTCTTGTGTAAATACCTAGCAGTGGAATTTCTGATGGTAGGCATATATTTAGCTCTAGTAGAAACCACCAGAAAGTTTTCCAATGTGATTATACCATTTTATTCTCCTGCCAGCACTGTGGACATTTCTGGTAGCTTCACATCTTCACCAATGCATGATTTATCACAGCATTTAACTTTTAGTAGAGATAAAATGATGAAAAGATCCAAAGTAGTATGCACATTCCTGAAGAACACTCAGTAAAGTACCTATTTCATTCATCTAATTCTGGTACTGAAAGCCATTGTATGTCCAGGTCGGAAAGGAAGCCTGAGAAAACTCTCCCAGTGAGGAGCAAGACCTTCAGGTGGGCTGCACATCTCATAAACTCAAGGGAAGTGTGAAGAAAAGTGCCTTCTGGGCGAGCCGGTCTCCTCTGGCATGTCATGCTCCTGGGTCTACTCCTGGGAAAGACAGCCCAGCCAGGCCAGAGAGCAATATCTCCTGCCCCACTTGCTGGAGAAGAGTCAGCCACTCTGCTCATCTTTTAGGTGTTATGAAATCCACAGGTCTCTGGTATATTTATGTGTTTATTAGACATGGTTTTCCACAGCTCTGCCAAATGGGTTCCCAGGAGGGGCTCTGGGGTGGTTGAGGGACCCCTTCCTAAAGAAGGCAGCCCTCAAGGTCTGTGAACCTCCAGGTCTTGTGAGTGGGGCCAGGTTCCCTAGGAAAAACCTTCTTGGCTGGGGGTCAGGGGAGCCCACTGGGGTGACCCTATCAGTCCTCACGGCCTGTGGTGGAGCCATGTGACTTTGAGAAGCAATGTTCAGCTCCATCCAAAGAGCATTCATGCAAGTTGGAGAGGAGGGCTAGGGGCACACAGCTCTGGATTGAGTTAGTCCCCAGCAGGACTGAGCCTAGTAGGAGGCTCAGAGGCACTGCACTTCAAAGGGGTAAAGCTCTTCCAGGTGCCAGTTGAGGAGTCTTGCGCACTGACTCTATAATTTCTAATCATACCCAGAAATACAGACCACACACCAACTAGTGAATAATAGGTTTTTAGAGCTGAAAAAACCCTTGACATGATCTATTTTTTTCTCTTTTTTCTTTTTCTTTTTTGGACACAGAGTCTCACTTTGTCACCCAGGCTGGAGTACAGTGGCGTCATCATAACTTATTATAACTTTGAACTCAAGGGATTCTCCTGCCTCAGCCTCCCAAGTAGCTAGGACTACAAGTGCACATCACGTTGCCCAGTTAATTTTTTTTTGTTATTTGTAGAGATGGGGTATCATTATGTTGCCCAGGCTTGTCTCAAACTCCTGGTCTCAAGTGATCCTGGCCTCAAGTAATCAACCTCAGCCTTCCAGGCAGCTGGAATTATAGGTGCTTGCCACTATGCCTAGCTGATGAATATATTTTAG